ATGGGGAAAAGGACCACAGAAGCACTCAACTAGTAGTAGTACCAATATATGAACCCAGGTAGTCTGACTCCAGAGTCAGTACTCTAAAGCACTATGCTCTACTGCCCTTTTAACATAAGCTTAAAAATCTATACAAACTTTAAAATCACTTTGCTTAGTTTATTTCCAACCCAACTCCCAGAACTCTCTCAAATCTACTGGAATTATGACTGGTATTGTAAGAAAATTATACATTACTTTGGGAAGAATTCACATTTTTACAATCTTTTCAGCTAGGAACATAACATTGCTCTTTACTTTTAAGATCTTATTTTAGGTAATTTAACAAAACATTATGATTTTCTTCTGTACTTTCCTGTTGAGTTCATTCCTATGTATTTTTAAACAGAATTTGAGGATACTTTGACTAGTTTAGTTCTATCTTCCTCACTCCCTCCATATACTTATTTATGTTGAAGACCGGTAGATGTAGGGATTAAAGAGACAGAACTAGCAATAAATTAAAAGAAAAATATAGTTAATCTATGAAAGTATAAAAGTTTCCATTGATTATTTTAAAATTTTAAAACAAATTGAGGAAAAAGCAATGAAAAGGCAAACAAAGATATAATGACATCTTATGCTTTATTCTTTACTAAAATTATCCTTAATAGGTACATATTAATTCAATCATTTTTTAGCATTTTAATTGTCTTAGAAAACAACCATAAACTTCAGATTGTCTTAGAAAACAACACATGAAAACACTTTAACTTTTCCAACTATACCCTTATGATCCAATGCCTAGTAACATAAAAAATACATTCTAAGTGGAAGCAAAACAAACCAAAAAAATACACGAAAGTTTTCCATTCAATAATAAATAAATTTCTATTTTTATAGTTCTAGAAATTCATATTTTCCCCCATTTGGCTGGCTGTAAAGGAATCACAAGATTATCCATGAACTAAATGCATTTTCTTTTATTTTAGGAAGAAAATCTAGTCCCACGGAAAGTGAGGAGAGAGAGAACATTTAAGAAAAGAAACAGGAGTTCTTTAAATCTGTTCTGGTTCTAGGGTCAGCCCTATTCTAGACTCATGCCTAAAAGCCAATTAAGAAAAAAAAAATAGAAATATTCTTCTGGATTCACAAAAGGTCATGAAGAATAGAAACATTCTCCTAGTACATAGTAAAAACCATAGCAGTGCTGGAGTATAACCCAAGTATACACAGTGTGCGATTCCATCCATTTTGTTAATTTATCATTTGAAACCATCAATTTAGAAACTTGCCTTGAATGGGAAGATAAGGTAAACTCTAAAGCAGTTGAAACTTAACTGAAATTCCTTTTGGGTTATGACAGCAAAACCACATAATAAAATTTAAAGCAAAGCAAGCCTTAAGCCACAGACAAGAACCAAAGAGCCAAATTGACGGAAACAAACACATAGCTGTTCACAGCATGAATTATCAGACAAGTATACAACTTTCTAACTCTTGGGAACCCACCTTGCACATCATCTCCATTTCCTCACTACTGATTTTATTCTTTCACCTTGAACTATGGTTTCCCTCTTTTATTGTCACTGAAAATAAATGCTTTAAAGTCATCAATGACCTAAATCATCACAAAATCTTTGCATAGTCCTTCTTCTTCTCTGCTATATATGAGATTATTAGCCATAACTCTCTTGAACATCCTCTTTACTAGGCTTGTAAAGGCTATAATTATCTGATTTTTTTTTTTTTTTTATAGCTAGCTTGCTCTTTCTGCTTTTGTCCTCTATCCACAATCTTTAACTCAGCCATGGGCTCTTTCACTCCTTATAAGCCATCTTCCTCATTTATATTTTTACTGTCATTTCTCATAGAGACCACTGCAACAATTATATATCTGGTCTTCTGTCTATTCCAAACCATATTAATAAAATGCATTCTTTTTCAAATATGCCCTGGATCACATTAGTTCCCCGTTTAAAATCTTCAGTGGCAACCCATTACACTTAGAATGAACTAAAGAAATTCACTTATAAACTAAAATGTTTTATATCAACTGATCTCTATCTCTCTCTCATCTTGTACCACTGGCTCACTCTGCTCTAGTTACTGCAACTCCTAGAACATAATATCTTTCAAGCTTCAGATACTATGTAACTGTTATTTCCTCTACCTAGATAGCGCTTTTATGACACTTCCCATGTCTCGTATCCTTTAGCTTCTTGGCTTACAGATGGCCTCCTCGGTAAGGTCTTACACATCAAGATTCAACCTAAAGATAGAGCCTTCATTACTAGCCATCAAAAACATTAACTTGTGGAATTATTTTGGCTATTTAATTGATTTTGGTCCCAAGAATGTAAGCTCCATAAAGGCCGTGAGCTGACCTAGTTTAATACTGTATCCCTTAGCACTTACCATAATATTTGATTCATATAAAGTAGTTAATATTTTAAAAATTATAAATGAGTCAATGATTCCTGCTTTGAAAAATCCCATTTTTACATTTATTTCACCCATCAACTGTATCATAGAATGTCAGTACTAGAAATGACCAAGGATGATGATCTAGTCAAAGGTTCTCATTTTATAGCTGAAGAAGCTGAGACTCAGAAGTTCAATAATTTGGTTATGGTCTACTTGCTACTTGGTAGTAGAGCTGTTAACAAGAACCCAGATCCTACATTATACTAAAAACATATCCAGCAATTTGATTTTACTGTAGAATACACACATACACAAAACAGCTCTGTGAAAACACTGCAAGACAGAATTAAGGCTACTGTGCTTTAAACTGATGTTGGTAGTCTTTCACAATGCGTCTGGCTTTCCCAAATTTTAGTTCTACATCTCTAACTGATAACTAGACTTTTCGCCACTGGAATTCTATCACACTCTACCTATCTAAAAAATAACTTCATTTTTAATTAGTCTTAAAAAGTAAGTTACTGGTAGCATTTTGTTATCATAAAATACAGCAAAATACTAGCATAGAAAATTAATTTGGATGCCATTCCATGCCAGAGTTTATGTGTGGCAAAGCATGTAGATAAATGTATGAAAAAGTTTAGATACAGTTCTGCAAATGTTATTTCTAATTTCTCAGGCCTTGCCCTACCCAGATTCAATCATGGTTAACTAAAACTGTGATTCACTTTAAAAAATGTTCCCATCTTCTAAGTCACTTTTCTAGCTAAAACCAGACAAACCAAACCCCAGCCAAATCAAACCAACTTCTTGACTAGACGTCCAAGAAACCCAATGTCAAGTGAATTTAAACCATAATGAAATACCTAAGAGTATATAGCTATTTTAACAAGATAAATCCATCTAAAACAATTCGATGACTGAAAGAGTTAGTAATTATTGTTTACTGACTTACACATCTTATTTACATGAGAGTAAAAAGTTAACAATACCAAAGTATATCATCTTGGTTCTTCTTTCCTTAATTTATATTCTCCACCTCCCTTCTCCTTAGAAATAATCTTATAAAGCATGAGGTGACATACAGAAAAATGGCTTGGAATCAGAAATGAGAAGCTCTAATCTACTGTGGTAATTTGTTAATTTTATGGCCATGAGTAAGGTAAGGAAAATGGATGAATACTATCCTGGGACCCTTTACTCAAGTGTTGGTTAGGTAGCAGTGTGATTAGAAGAGGAATTGATTTTTATCAGGGAAAATATTAAGATTAGTTAGAAAGAGAATGTATAAAGTCAATAAATTTAGTAGGAGCATGTATAAGTAAAATAAAGAGAAGAAAATGTAGAATGTGATCACAAAAGTGAAGGGAACCCAAAATATAGTTAAGATAGAGCCAAATACAGTGCAATAAATTCCACCTTGAAAGAAGGTCTAGGTAAAGTTTGAGAAAGACTTGTATTACAGATAAGTAACAAAGCAAATATTTTGAGTTAAGGTATTTTGAGCTGGTTTACAGGACTGTATCTAGGTATAATGCATACCTGTTGTTTCTCTCATCGAATTTTGTCAAAGTCAGAATAAATATTAATAGTATCAATTAGTATCACTACTTGGAAAGAACACTGGGTGATGCTCACTCTCCTGGTGACCTGTTTGAGTAGTGAATTGAGAGGATGGCTCTCCTATAATATTCCAAAAGGTTGAACCACACAAGAGGGTAGAGGAAGCATAACAGGCAAACAGTAGTACACTATCTTATTTATTTTTCACAACAACTATATAAGGTATACAAGGAAAATAATCCGTGTTATAGATACAGGGAAACTAAGGATCAGAAATTTTGAGGACATAAGTTACAAGGGACAGAGTTAAAAATTTGAATCTGTATTTCTTTTGATTCTGTAGTCCTCATTCAATCTATTATGAGCCTCCATTACATCAAGGTATCACCCACCTTCTAGTATTGCTATATGGATTAAATGAATTATCAGTTCTTTAAAGCACTATTGTGAGCCAGGTTGAAAATCTAGACATATATAGGAAAAAGAATTTCTAATTCTAAGGAGCTAACATTCACATAAACTTTTAGAATACAACCTCTTTATTAAGTTTACACATCCATTTTGCTATGCATGTTATTATGTAACCTGTAAAAAGATGCATATTTCAGAAATTATACAGCTGTTATTTCCCCCTATTTCTTAGATAAGTAAATGACCCCACTTCTGACCTCCTGATTTCAATTTTAAAGAAAATATTACTAAAAAGTGGATGGCTGTGGTCTAATTAGATTATCATGTGTCACAGATTTTTCCAAGTTCACATATAAATACAGTAAAAACATTCTGGATGCATATTTTTCCCCTTAAGTATATCAGTATTTTGTATCTCAAAATAAGCATCAAGAACACTTTTCTGGAATATTACATTATACTTACAGGGATTTTTAAAAATTTGTGTGGCATGGTAGCAATGTTAATATGGAAAGATAGTGTAAACTGTTGAGATATCCTTACTTGTTACAGGAAACAAATTGTTTTCTTGGCAAAAAGTCACACAGCATGCTCGCATATTCATTTTTAAGAAGTGATCTAGGTCAGGGATGGTAGCTCACACCTGTAATCCTAGTACTCTGGGAGGCTGAGGTGAGAGGATCACTTGAGGTCAGGGATTTGAGACCAGCCTGAACAAGAGCAAGACCCTGTCTCTACCCAAACCAGAAAAAATTAGCCGGGCATGGTGGCATTTGCCTATAGTCCCAGCTACTTGGGAAGCTGAGGCGGGAGGATCGCCTGAGCCCAGGAGTTTGAGGTTGTGGTGAGCTGTGATAATGCCACTGAACTCTACCCAGGACAACACAGTGAGACTCTGTCTCAAAAAAAAAAAAAAAAAAAAAAAGCTATCTATAATGGATGGAGTGATAATCAATGGAAACACAACAATATGTGAATCAACTCGTCAGAATACTATACCTTCTTCTCCTTGAACAGGTTCTTCTAATAGCAACTCTGTCATACATTCCCAGTCTTTCAATAGTTCTTGAGAGCTCTCCCACAAACTGTCCACCAAGTAGGCTGCATGTTCATGTAACTAAAAATAACAAAGCAAATGTGACTAAAGAATATTTAATATAGAAACTAATAATAATATTTTGAGAAAATAAACCATTTTCTTCATAATTAAACATCATTAAAACGGCTTGGTCTCTATGATTATAAGAACCACTTAGAGAACAATATTCATATTCCACTGTCAATAATGTGGACACAGTATATAGAATCATTAATTAATTTTTTAAACATTTGCAGTAGTAAGATTAAGGATCTCTCAGCCCAATAGAGCATAGGTAGGTAGCAACTAGCTAGAGTGTAGCTACTTAGCAGAATTATTGAAATTATAAACTGGATCTAGGTCACTTTTCATTACTCCTGGTTGTCTCTTTTTAAATATACTTTTTAAAGGAAATTAATCACTTTCTCCCAGAATTCCATTTGAAACTTTGGTACCAAAGCCTTATTTGCTTCACATCTGTCACCCTGGTCAAGGTCAAAAATGTAAGTTACTCCATCTCTCTCCTCTATTCTACTCTCATTTCCATTTGACTCAATGTACTCCTTACTCCGCCCCCATTTTCTGTTGGTCATTACTCTCTTGACAATTTTCTTTGGAACACATGTTTCCACAGTAAACAAACACACTCAAGTTCCTCATCAAATACTTCACACTAAACTCTCTGCCACATGCCAGCTATTAAACCTTGAAGAATATCATTTCAGTGAAGGTAAGTAGAGAAGGTGTTGGCATTGTTCCAGTTTCTGCTACCGACAATAAACTTCACCCTTGTATAAAAATCTTCCACTTTTGAGCCTCATTACATCCTGCTAAAGCTGTGGTCCCCAACCCCTGGTCCATGGCTGCAGAGCTCCACTGCCCCGCCTCCCCAACCTCTATCCATGGAAAAATTGTCTTCCATAAAACTCAGGAAGCGGGGTGTGCAGCAGGAGGTAAGTGAGAAGCTTCATCTGTATTTATAGCTGCTCCCCATTGCTTGCATCACTGCCTGAGCTCTCCCTGGCGCCCCCCACCACTCCCGCTCTCCCTTCCCCGCCCCCAGTGGTGGAAAAATTGTCTTCCATGAAACAAGTCCCTGGTGCCAAAAAGGTTGGAGACCGCTGTAAAGAATCCTTGAGATGAGTATTTTTCAAACTACAGATTGTAACCCATTCTTGGGTTGTTAAACTAATTCAATGCATTGAGACCAAAGTTCCAAAAATGAAGCATGGCAGAACACAGAAAGAGTAAATATCCTTTTAGATAACTGTTATTTGTTATATGAACTTGTAGTTGTTGCAAGAGAAAATGTTTTTCTCATCATTTAGTGACCCCAAAAGTATGAAAGTCACCTTTCTAGAGCTATTGGTTATCTAGTGTTATCTTGGCTCATTTGGCACTTGAGTTGGTTTTTCTTCCCCATTCCTAACTCTATCGTTATTATTAAATTCAATGTGAATTTTAATGACCTATTTAATGCTCTGCTTTTGACCTTAATTCTGTACTTCATTTCTACTGCATTTCAAATCTCACACCCTAGCTCCAGAAATGCCTCAGGGAAACCACACATATCGCAAAGTCTCCCAACTAATTCTGTCAAAGTCAGAGTAAATAATATTGATTAGCATCTTTGCTTTAAAATAACATGGGCAGTAACCAAAATGTTTATAGCCCCATAATATCCTGAATTAAAAAAAAAAACAAAAAAAAAACAAAAAAAAAAACCAAACCTAAGTGTGGGGGGAAAGAACATGGGCAAATGTTTGCTGCAAATTATCTTCAAACTTTTTGAATTCATATATTCTGAGAAATTATTCTTAGACTATCCATAAAATTATTCCAATAGTGACAGGTATAAATGGTGCACAACTTGGTGTCACAAATGAAAAATGGCAGAAAAAAATTGTTTCCAAACGGCTGCTATTAAAACCTATGCTGAATTGAAGAGTTACTGTTTAATGGATACAGTTTCAGTTTGGGAAGATTTGAAAAAGTTTTGAAGATGGATGGCAGCAATGATTGCACAGCAACATGAATGTACTTAATGCCACTGAACTACATACTTAACAAGATAAATTTTGTTTGGTGTATTTTACCACAATAAAAAAGTAAACTGCTGAATCAATAAGGTTTTATGCTTAACTATGTATACATGTATTTCTGTAGAATATGTATATAATGATTCAGTTATGGTATGTATTTGGTGGATTATGTTATTCTATCTTTCTGTCTCTCTTAATACTTCTGGTCCTCAATTCTGGTTTATCTTTTATGATACTGTTCCCCCTGCTACCTTTTTGTAAGCATTTGTTAGTTATATCCAGTTTTTATCCAGAACTTATTTGTAAACTTCCTCTTATTTTGATTAAAATGTGTTTATAAACAGCATATAGTTATTTTTCATTTCATTATTTCAATGCCAAATGGCAATCTGCCTTTTAATAAAGCATGTTCATCTATTTGTATTTATTGGTATTACTGATGCTAGAAATATTCCTGGCATTTTATTTTCTGTGCTCTACTTGTAATATTTTCTTGATTATTCTATCTGTCCTTCCTTCCTGTCCACAGTTTTATTATCTAAGCTATATTTTTCATTACCAAGATCCTTAGCGCATTTATTTAATTACTTCTCTTCCTCTAATTTGAACATTATACTCCTACATTTTAAGATATTTTTAGATATTTGCCTTAAACTTCAAAGTCCTATTTTTTAGGCTTAGCTGTAAATTTTTTTTGGATTTATTTGCTCACCATTGTTTCTTATATTCCTTGTTTTCCTTTTATTGTATCTATTTTTCATTTTGCTAGAAAACATCCTAAAGTAATACTCAACATATAGAGTTCATGGGTAGTTATCTTTCCAACTGCATGTCCCTTGATAGTTCCTCCTCTTTATTCTTTCTGTTTTCTTTCCAGACCTCTCATTAGATAATACAATAGAATTTCTTAATCTGTACTCCCTCTCTCTCAATTTCTCTCTCACAGTTTTCATTTTTTTCTTCTCTTACACTGTTTTTTGGAAAAATCCTTTGGTGCAGTCGACAGCCAATCCTTGGTTGTGTCTATTCAGGCCTTTTATTGATTTTCCCCAATTAAATTTTAGAAATCAAGTTTTTAACTTCTAAGGACTCTCTCCCTCTTTCATGAAAGTCTCCTCCTCTATTTGACGGTATAAATTAAAAGTTTTAGTGATTCTTGGTTGCTAGTTCATGTATGAGCCTAGACACAAGAATATGGTTAGTCAGAATCCCTTCCTTGAATCTGGTTGCAAGGTCCTGGCTCCCTTGGTTGTACGGCAAAGTGGAAACAGGGCCTCTATAGTCAGGCAGGCTTTCTCTCTATTGTATAGGATACAATTTGCCTTTTGAATGAAAAATTTCCTGTCCCTCCTGGTGGTCATAAATTTTCTGGGACAAACACTACTTTGCTGCTTAGACCCACTGTTCACATCCCAAATGCCTGGACCAGCAGTTCTAAAGTGATGAATAGGCTTAACTAAAGGACAGCCACTTAATTACTACTTATAGGTTATTTCTTCACCAGCCTCTACTGCCCTGATCTTTGGCGTATTTAAGAGCTTTAAAAGAAAATCTCAGTTAAAAAAAAAAAAAAAAGATTTCGTATTTTTGCCTCATGTGGCTATGGGTTACTTAGACCAAATGGAATTCGCAGTCAGTCTTTTCCCAATTACTTTATAGCTTCCACAAATCCCTCATTGTTTTCGTGAACTTGTAATATCTCTTCCATCTTCACTAATTTAGCCTGAGGTTTTCAGTGGAGGAGTTAACAGTATAATTCAAGACTTTAAAGCAGTTTAATTCTATTAGTATCAGCATTCTTAAGGTTGTATGTATCTCTGGCATATTGTCACTGTTCCTATCAGACAGTTTAGCAGAAATTTGTCTGTGGTAGCAAATATTCTTAATGCAGATGCTCACCTTCTTTGACAATTTACTCATCTTTCTGACTGTAAGGTGGTGGCACCGTGGAATGTATTCTGTTAACACCAATAACCAGTTGTTTCAAACTCAAAGTGTAAACCAGAGGGCAAGATAATGCATTGGCCCATTTTCTGATCAGAGTTTTAAATTCACCATTATTAGCAACAACAATCAGAATAACATGGTCAGTCAGGGACTGGCTTGACATAATATTTATGATAGTCTTTCTGTCTTAGGGTATTTGTGATAGGCATAGAACTTGCTGGTCTCAAATTTTTATATAAATTCCAGGTAAATCTATGTTCCAGGAAAAAAAAAATTTTAACATAGTAAGAGTAAAAGGTCACAATCATCTTTCAGACACTTTATACCAAGGAACTTCTGTTAGTAGTGAAAGATGAAACTATGAAGGAAGGCCTTGAGGGCATTGATTAATGGGTACAAATATAGAAGTTGATAGAAGAAATAAGACCTAGTGTTTGACAGATTGGTAGGGTGACTGTAGCTTACAATAATCTACTATACATTTCAAAAGAGCTAGAAGAGAATATTTCCAGCATAAAGAAAAGACAAATATTTAAGGTGATGGATAATCCCAATTAAACTGAGTTGATCTTCACAAATTATATGAATGTATTAAATTATCACATATACCCTCAAAATATGTACATCTATATATATCAACAAAAAGGTAACTGAGAAAAAAAATCCCCCAAATTAAAAAGAAACCAGAACCCTAAAAATGAAAGAAAACTATATTTTCTAGAAACAGTTTTTGGTGTCATAATTTCATAAAAACAGTGTAAGGCCAGGCACAGTGGCTCATGTCTGTAATCCCAACACTTTGGGAGGCTGAGGTGGGAGGATCACATGAGGCTAGGAGTTCGAAACTAGCCTGAGCAACATAGCAAGATCTCATCTCTATGAAAAATTAAAAAAAAAGAATCAGCCAGGCATGGTGGCATGTACCTGTAATCCCAGCTACTTGGGAGGCTGAGGCAGAAGGATTGCTTGAGCCCAGGAGTTTGAGGTTGCAGTGAGCTATGATGACACCACTGCACTCTAGCCTGGGCAACAGAATAAGATCCTGTCTCAAAAAATACAAAATAACAACAAAAAACAGTTTGAAAATCAGGTACATGCAAGGATTCATCTTCAGAAATTAGATGAACAAAAAGGGCAACTTTTTAATGGATAAAGAGTCACTATGGAAAAATGGATTTAAAATTTATTTGTAAGTTATATATAAATTAAAACTATATATAATATTACATCTACATGGATTTTACCCCACTATATCTAAGTTTAATTTATTTTATAGGCTTTCCTCTAAGCTTATATATGAAGACAACAAACTAATTTAATTTTCCTGGTGATTTTAATTACAATTTTCTAGGCATACTCTGATTCATCTTTAATTGGCTTCAAGTTTACTCCTAACATTTTACCTCAAGTTTTCTCTGTCTGCTAACCTCTCTATCAGATAAATAAATACATTAAAGGGGTTCCCTCATTCCATTGACTCAGTTCTTCTCCAATTTTAATCTTCATATAGATGGTCCTATTTGCGTCTCTCTTCCTTATTCCTATAGAATTCCTCTAATATGCTTAAACTTGAGCATTCATAGTATCTTCTATATTTTTCTTTTTCCCTAACATTCTTAATGTTTTTTCACAAATAAAATTAAGAGTCTTAGATTTCTTTATTTCTTTTGCAACTCTATTCTCAGTCCTTTCTAAATCAACTAGTTTATTTACTCAGGGGCTCTTTAGGTTTAATTTACCATTCCCCCAATGACATGGCAATAGTACAAAAATACAGATGAAAATATCAAAGAGCATTTTGTGGGTAGACCAAAGTTCACTTGTGAAAACAGATCCTGATCGATAATATATTATGAGTGTTAATTACAGATTTGCTTAAATAATAACTGATTAGAGCACATGGAAATATTGCTATAAGGCTTGTTACAACTATCAATAAATACACTTGAATTTATATTTTTCTCCCTATTAAATAATTTTCAACCAAGATAGAACTAATGGTTTCAACAGCTTGACAATTTTCACAAACTGTTTAAATAATATAATTTAAAAGTTACAGGCACAAATTCAAGAAAAACAAAAAGCAATAATAAAAAAACATATTCAGAGCTGGGTACAGTGGCTCATGTCTGTAATCTCAGTGCTTTGGAAGACCAACGTGGGATGATCACTTGAGGCTGGGAGTACAAGACTAGCCTGTGCAACATAGTGAGACTCTGTCTCTACAAACAATAAAAATTAGGCAGGCATGGTGGTATGTGCCTATAGTTACTCAGGAGGCTGAGGCAGAAGGATCTCTTAAGCCCAGTAGTTTGAGGTTGCTTTGAGCTATTTTCATACCACTGCACTCCAGCCTGGGTGACAAAGCGAGATCCTCTTTTAAAAAAAAAAGGTATTCAATACTATAATACCTATACTAAAAAGTTTAATAATAGCTAGTCTATATCCAGGGTTAATCCACACCTACATATATGTTTAGAACTTCTTCCCACAAAAGGTAGAATACTGATTTCATAATCAAGCAATTCATGGAGGCAACTTTATAAGAAACAGGCTTGTTTTAATTTGACTGGGTAAAAAACCAATTACAATGAATTAAATGACAATTTTATTTAACATGTAATATAATACCAAAAAAATAAAGAGTTATGTTAAACATTTTTTACCTCACTTTCAAGAAAGAAAAGAACCAGCATCCTAATGAGGTTCCCATTTGGGCTGTTCCTACCCCTCCTCTTTGCTAATGCTTCTTCTGCTTGTGGGTCATGTCTGCTAAATAGCCTGGAAATAAATAACAGAACAAAAGCATTACAAATTTACATAGATATGAACTTCAGTCTTTTCCTTCACTACAGAAATCATTTCAGTGTTTAAAAAAGAAAGAATATCAAAGATCAGATTATATTCATCTATTTCAATACAAATATGTAACTGATGTCACTATAGGTCAGAAAATGGTTGGATCTGTAATGTTTAACTATATATAAAATTGTTCAACTATATATAAAAAGTAACAGTAAACTTGCTTACTGATGTATAATCAATTTTCAAATATTTATGAAAAATAAGCACTGCTGTTGTCCTATATGATGATCCTAGAGTATATAATTTTAAATTGAGCTCTACTTCCTTAAATGTTGATTTTATAGTCATGTAATTATAGCATTTAATCAAATGTTCCAGCAATAATTATAAAAATTCATACTTTTAATGACTACCTCTTACATTCTTTCCTATTTATACCCTATTATCTAGAAGCACTAATCACTAATCCAAAAGTTTTCAGTAAAATGACATTAACATTATATTTATAAAATATAATTTAGTGACAAAACTTCTAAAATATGACTTGAAAATTTTAATTTGTTAAGTAGATTTATTCCAACAAAACTTAAAGACTGATAGAGGTACCTTATTTCCAGGCACTGCTCTAGGTAAAAAGGATATAGCAGTGCACAAGGGCAAAAGCCCTGATCTCATGGAGCTCTCACTCTAGTGGATGAAGATAAACAGCAGATAAACACATACTATCTCAAGTGTTATAAAAAAAAAAAAAGTAAGAAAATGGGGATGGATATATAGCATGTGCTAGTTTATATATGGAAGTGAGTAGGCCTCTCAAATGAAAGGCTGAATAACTAAATAGCATGAGAATAATTTCATGTGATATAAAAACAAATCAATCTCAAGCAGAAAATAACTACAGAGAAGTTGAGTTTTGTTACGGGGGAGGAAGGCATATGGGGAAACTACAGAACTTATCTCGCAGCTATATCTATACAACTATCACACTGGTTTAAGAGAAGGTTTGTTTTGCAGGCGACTTTTGTAGGAGAGGCAAAAGGAAATTATGAGGAACCTTGATAACTGACATGTACCAATTTAAATAATTGCATTTAGTACATATAAATATGAGGTATTGAGGAATTAGCTTAAATTTTTAATAGTAAAATGTGGAAATTTTAGATGACATATTAAAATATTCATTACAGATAGGTCTTATTTTTATGGATGATTGGTTAAGACTGTATATAGTTTATAACTAGACTACATGACACTGTGTGTGTGCACGTGCACATGCATGTATCTATAAAAGCTAATCATAGAACTCCTGGGGATACTATATTGCTTATTTGTTAAGATTTTAAAAGATCACTATATTAAACGGTGGAAGAATACTAAAAAAGATCATTAAAAAATCAGAAGTCATCAAAATGCAAATTTTTTCCAACACAGGGGCCTAAAATCCACTTATGGAGTGCAGCTTTCATTCGCAAAATAATTGGCTTCATTTTCACAAAGAAATTTTAAAAAATGGAGGCTTATCCTTCTAAATTTTTATATAAAATATTCCAATTAAAATATTTTTAGCAAAGTGACATCAGCAAGATTGCAGAATAGGAGATCCCCCAGCATCACTTCCCCAACAAAAATACAACTAGAAACTATTCAAAGATAAGAATACCAACCTAAATATACCAAAATACAGAGGAAAGCAGAGAAAACCCTGGGCTCACAGAATGAAGAGGAGCCATGACTAGCAGGAAAAACAGTCATTTCATACTATACCATCTCCCCCTCGCCCCCCACCTCAAGTCAGCATAATGCCACTCACAGAAAATTTCCTTAGACCTATGATTGCCAACATGAAAGGACGGAATTACAGGTGGACATTCGCTTTTTCCACCAGTCTGGGAATCTTCACAAGAAGCCCACTCTGGTCCTGTCCCACAGGAACCACTGAGAGTGCCAGGAGACCTGAACCACCTGGGGTGAATTGGGGATGCCATGTTGAAGACATTGGTTGGTGCCAAAGCACTATAAGGAGCATAATCTGATAGAAGGCTTGAATCCCTACTTGGATTTTCCACAAAGCCCAAGTGATTACATGGAGCCTTCCGAGGGCCTGTGAACCACTAAAAGGTAAGGATTATGTTCCAGTGCTTGCTTAAGTCTTCCCAGACTAGGAAACAATGGCAGGGAAGCGATATACTTCCAAGGCAGTGTTTACACTCTAGTACTCACTGTAAGTCTTCCCCAGACTGAGAAACAATGGAAGGGCAGTGATTTAGTTCCAGAAAAGTGTTTAAGTTCCAGTGTTCACTGTAAGTCCTCCCCAGGCCAGGAAACACCACTTGGCCAGTGTTTAAGTTCAAATATTAAGATGTAAAGGTTGAATAACCCTAAAGAACACCTGTAAAAAGTGGAAAGGTGATGTCTCCTCAAACACACAGGCATCAACTTAAAGATGCAAAGATTGTGAACTTAGGGATATATGATATTAATAAACCAACAAAGTTCCAGCAATAGATCTAGAAGAATTGAAGATCTATGAAATGCCTGACAGAGAATTCAGAATAATCTTCTTATAGAATTTCAGAGAATCATAAAAAAATACAAACAGAAAGCTAAATGAAATTTGGAAAACAATACAGAAACAAAATAAGAAATTTGACAAAGAAATAGAAGTAATTTTTAAAAACCAATAGAAATCCTAGAAATAAGGAATACAATAATTAAAGTGAAAAACTAATTAGAATAGCAGACTTGATCAAATAGAGGAAGGAATTATTCAGCTCAAAGACAGAACATATGAAATTACACAGTCAGCAGAGTAAAAAGAAAAAACGAATAAAAAAGAGTAGAGAAAGCCTATGAAAATTATGGGACACCAAGTGAACTAACCTCCACATAATTGGGGTTCCTGAAACAGATGAGAGAGAAAAAGGTCTAGAAAGTGTATTTAAAAAGTAAGGGTTGGTCCCCGCCCTGCTGTTCCATCTCCCGGAGAGCGCTGGTGGCGACCTGCAGGTACTGGGAGAGCCATGGGGAGGACACCGGGGCACCCCGGAAGCTGGGACATCCCGTGCCTTCTCAATACATCCAAGATTATTTGCCAGAGCATGGCATAAAAGATTCATTCCAAAAAGTGATACTGAGAACTTACGGAAGCTCTGGCCTTGAGAATTTAAACGTAGGAAAAGACTGGAAAAGTGTCGGTGAGTGTAAGAGGCAGAAAAGATGTTATAATGGACTTAGCCAAAATTCTGCAAGTACACATTGCAAAATGTTCTAATGTGATAAATGTTTGAAAGT